ACATGACATCAAAATTAGGTAGACGAAAATTTTAAATAATCCATAAAAATTGATACTATAGTTTGGACTTTGACACAATTAATTTGACTATTGTAATAGGACAAGGTTGTGACAACCTCATAATTAAGACAAAGCCCAAAAGGTTGCGTCAATCCCTCCAATTGTCTCCTTTAGCTTTCCATGTCGATAGTAAGACGTTTCAAAATGAATATCAAATTTAGAAACTCACGAAATATAATTGGTTAAAAATGAACGAGCAAGTGAATTATTGACATTCTTTTACCGACTGAGATTTATTTGAAATGAAAGATAGTAAATGACGTTATGCAGATTAGGTTATTCACCTGGTCTCATCTGTAATTAATATAATTGGTTCTCTAAAAGTCTTCATGGCTTGTAACAAAATACCATACTATCAGTTAAACTGATATGATGTATGCATATATACTAATCTATTGGACTTTCTCTATATTTTATCTATATTATATTGATACATTTGCCGGTTAATGACGCACTAAATTAAAATAACAGGCTATGATCGCCGCCGGTACCGACACCGCCACGGTGACCGTAACGTGGGCCATCTCCCTCCTGCTCAACAACCGCCACGTCCTGCTCCGCGCACAGAAAGAACTCGACGACGTCGTTTCCAAGGACAGGATCTCACCCACCGACGGCGAGCTCAACAACCTCGTCTACCTCAAAGCCATCGTCAAAGAGACACTGCGGCTCTACCCGGCCACGCCGCTCTCGTCTCCCCGCCAGTTCACGCGCGACTGCCACGTGGGCGGGTACCCGGCTCCCGAGGGCACGTGGCTGATAGTGAACCTGTGGAAGATCCACACAGATCCCGAGGTGTGGGGGCCCGACCCGATGGAGTTCCGGCCCGAGAGGTTCCTGACGGCGGCCCACCGTGACGTGGACGTGCGGGGGAGCGACTTCCACCTCATGCCGTTCGGCAGCGGGAGGAGAGGGTGTCCGGGCGTGAACTTCGGGCTCCAGATGGTCCACCAGATCCTGGCGAGTGTGCTGCACGCGTTCGATGTCTCGAGTAAGGATGGTGCGGACGTGGATATGACGGAGAGCTTTGGGCTGACCAACGCCAAGGCGACGCCGCTCGAGGTCCACGTGTCGCCCCGGCTGCCGGCGGATCTTTACTGAATCGGTGATAAACTGATGGTTTGTTAACGATGATAAGAAACCACGTATTTAAGATTATACATGTTGAATCTAAGAAAAACGGAATACATGTTAAAAAAATGTTGTATTTTGTATGCGTTGGTTGTAAGAAAAATTTGTTATATGTGTAAGAATACAAGTGTTTTTTACATAATTTTCATATATTAATCGATATTGTGTTGAAAGCGACACACAAATAATTGTGGGTGTTTATGTTGCACTCAACCTCATAATCATAATTTTAATCATTCAATTTGTCTCAAATCGATTCAGTATTCAATTGTATAATTATATATAAGAAAATGTGTAAACTTACGTGCAATTAGGTACAATTTGTTTGTATCGCAAGTATTTCTCAACATAATTAGAACGTATGAGTCTTCTAATGTTTAGTGCGAAAGTAATAAATTCTAGCTAGCTACATGTTTAGAACATGTAGGTCTTCTGATGTTTAGTGCGAAAGTAATTAATTCCACATAGTTCTTGCAAAGTTGGAACGCGCACCTATGGTAGTAGATGGTTATGAAGCAATATCGATCAAATAAATAAATAAATAAAGGTAGAAGATCATCTAATATTCATCTTACTGACAACAAATTTTTCACATGATAAAATGTGTATCACAAACACAAAAGTTCATCTTACTGACAACAAATTTTTCACATGATAAAATGTGTATCACAAACACAAAAGTGATAAGTTAGGTAGATCATTTACACACCAGCCGATGAATTTTCCAAGGAGTACATCATTCAATCAAAATACTTATTGAGAAGCCAGATAGGCATATATAACATGATATTGGCCCATGGCAAAGCAGTGCTTAAGATTTATGGCCAAGAGTTTCAAAGCAATACTGATCAACAAATCAAAGAAATAAGGTTGAAGATCATCTCATATTTATCTTGACAATAAATTAGCAACATGATAAAATTTGTATCACAAGCACAAGGACTATGCTAAGTTAGGTAAAACACCTCGTTTACACACATGCCAATGATTTTTTTTTTTTGAATGAGTACATCTTATAATCAAAATACTTATTGATAAGTCAAATAGGCATAACATATATGCCTCTCATTGCTTTGCATAAACATGATATTGGCCCATGGCAAAGCAGCTAAAGATTTATCGCCAATGGTACTTTCAGGTAAGACGAGGCATGATTTCAGCTTTGAGAACTTGCTAAAACTCCATTGCTTGCAAATGCCAAGTAGGCAAATAGGGTTTGCTGTTTTTGCAAAGTAGATCAACAGAGGTAATTAATGCTGTCTCTTGTGTAGGGGAAAGCAAGATGGTTCCATTGGGATAGTTCTGCATGCAATGTGGTATGAGCCACTAAGATACAATAACATGCCAATGTATGGTACTGATCATATGCCAAACCACGCATAAATAAGTGGGACGATGTCATAAGAATCGACTACCAACTTACTGCTCTTGCCAGATCCATAAGGTAAACATTTGCTAAATGTACTTCATTCCATGTGTGAAACAAAACAAACAAAAAATGGCTGCGATGGATACCAAACCACGCATAAATAAGTGCATGCTGCAATTTCTACACACACACAAAAAAAAAAAATTGAGAGGGCCCAACCGGGTTCGAACCGGTGACCTCTTGATCTGCAGTCAAATGCTCTACCACTGAGCTATGGACCCATTTGGTGTGCTTGCTTAAGAATTTTCTTATTTTAAATGATTGGAAAAGTGGTTATATGACAATCATTCATCAGATTGGCCTATTAATACCTTAACAAAACTATATAAACTATTGGTTGCATCGATTTGATTTTTAGTATGATCTTATAATTAATTTAGTGTTCTCCGAGACCAACGTTGCAATTATATAGCGTGGTTGTATATAACTTTATACAAAATCGTACAACCATGTTGCTCAAAAAACGACTCTTGACCGATCCAAGTTTGGTGCCACTATTGTTTGTCTGCAGATCAATCTGCAAGAAATTGAAGAATTCGACAAATCAAGAAAATGAAATATAAGACATACGAATTTATAAAGTTCACTAACATAATGTGTGTTAGCTAGTCTACGGACATGAGAGAGTCAGTATCAATATACTTCAAGGTCAAGGAGATATAAATTACAGAGGACCAATGTTAAAAAATACTGGTAATTTTGATTGAAAATTATTTTGTCTCCCTATCATTTCTCGTAATTTAATGTTTAAAAAATACTGGTAAATTATAGCAAATAATAAATAGAGAAATATTCACGGAAGAAAAAAAATAAACGGAGAAATCTTTGTCACTTCACATTGTTTATTGACGAGTCGAGCTAAAACTGAATTAAATCTCGACTCCATTCGGCTCATTTGCAACCCTAATTTTTGGAGACTAGGAATAAATAATTTTAGTGGTTAAAATACCTCGGGTGCCACTTAAATTTGAGAATTGGGGTAGACATACCACTTAAGTTTGGATAGGGCGTCGGGTACCATTAATGTTACCAAAATGTGCATCCGTCTACTTTTCCATCCAACCCAAACTTTTAATTACTTTTTGATACCCAAAACTTTTTAAAACATCCAAAACTATATTTTAACAAGTTTTATCTAATATAATAATTAGAAATCCTTCTAAATATTTTATTCCTAGAATGAGTAATCAAAATTTTTCAATAAAATAGATAAATTAGTAAAAATAATAAACGAATATAAAAAAATAATAAATAAATATTACCAAAAATAATAATAATAAATATACTAGAATATAATAATAAATATTTAAAATCAATATTAGAATATCTATTTAAACTCTCTAATTCAATTAGAATCACCATTAGAAATAGTTAAAATAGAACCTTATCGATCTTCAATACATCAAAATCAAAGAAGGACAAATGGAACACATTCAGAAAGAATTACACATATTCCAATAATTGAAAAAAATTAGAACGAAAAGAGATGGAAAGTATCCAAATAATATATAAAATATAAAAGCTACAACATTCGGTAAAAAATGTAAAAAATAAAATATGACTATAAAAGCTACAAAATTGTTTAGTTACAACATTCATGGAATAATTCAATTATTAGAACACATAATGATAATTGAAAATGATTATAATGATAATTAATTCTAAATTTTCTATTCAAAAATTTGTTTGGTATCAAGTATTCAAAAGAGGATTCTAAGTAAACAATAAAAAATAATGTTTTTCATAAGTCTCAATAATTTTTTTACAATAAGAAAAGTAGAAGGACCAATTATGAAATTTAGAAAACGGAATATTCTACTGTCAACTTTAACGGAATGCACTTAACAGTAAACTTAAGTGGTACCGGGTGCACATATAATAAAGTTCAATGGTACCCGACGCCCTATTCAAACTTAAGTGGTATGTCTATCCCAATTCTCAAACTTTAGTGACACCCAAGTATTTTACCCTAAATTATAGCAAGTAACAAATGGAGAAATATTCACCGAAAATATTAAACAGAGAAATCTTCGTCACTTCATATTTGCCGCTCTTTTTTCCCTTAAAAAGGAGAGAAATTTCTTTTCCTTCGGTAGAAGCATTGACAAGTCAACAGCAAAAGAAAGGGGGAAAAAATGCCTTCCACAAAGTTCTAGTTCTCCCTGGCTAAAAGTTACATAGAACCTCCTAGAACACTCTGTAACCTCATCCAGAAATATCCAAAGAATTCCTTAACATCTTGTTCTCATCCCTATATAAACCACTCTCCACTTCTATCCATCCATCAAAATTAAAGAATTCCAGATCAGACCCAAGCAAAAAAAATCTCAGCAGCTAGCAATCTCAGAATCAAAAGAAGCAAATCATCAAAACAGAGCAAATGGATCTCCGATTCGTTGGGTTCGATTACCCAGTCCTCCAAACCCTGCAGCACATGATGGACACCGTGGGAGACGAGCCGGACGCGACCGCCAACAAGTCCTCGCCCTCTGCAGCCACCGCGCCGACGAGGACGTACGTGAGGGACGCCAAGGCGATGGCGGCGACGCCGGCCGACGTGAAGGAGTACCCGAATTCGTACGCGTTCATAATCGACATGCCGGGGCTGAAGTCAGGGGACATCAAGGTGCAGGTGGAGGACGACAACGTTTTGATCATCAGCGGGGAGCGGAAGCGGGAGGAGGAGAAGGAGGAAGGGGCGAAGTACGTGCGGATGGAGAGGAGGGTCGGGAAGCTGATGAGGAAGTTCGTCCTGCCGGAGAATGCGAACACGGATGGTATCTCGGCGGTTTGCAAGGACGGGGTGCTGACGGTGACGGTGGAGAAGGTGCCGCCTCCGGAGCCCAAGAAGCCCAAGACCATCGAGGTCAAGATCGCGTAAGGGGATGTGGTTTTGGTGATGGATCGAGCGGTGATGTGTGTGGTTTTGTTTGTTGGTTGGTTGGTCTCTGTTTTCCGAGTTCGTGGAGTTTGTCTCTCTGTTTTTTCTTCTGGTTTTGTACTAATGCTGGTATCCTGTGTGTGTGATTTCCTGTTGAGTTAATATATGTGGGCTTTACTCTACACTTTAAGTAGTTGTCTCTTTCACTTCGCTGGTGATGGTGATTGGGTTGTGGCCGATTATAAAATGGGAAATCTTCGGTCACCGTAATTGCAGAAGAAACAGAGTACTCTGTTCGGGTTTGAAGCTAAGAACTCACAAATTCAGCTAACAGTGACAACGGGAAAAAAAGGGGTCTGAACCAAGGTTAATTAGTTACTATTTCTGGACACCAAAATATGGAATTCCTTCGGCGATGACGGATCCACCGGTGATTCACTTATGATGGTTGTTCCGGTGGTACTGTAGCGTGCAATGCAACATCGATGGTTTGGTAAAGGACAATCATCTCGACCGTGGATCGTGGTGATGACAAGGGAGGGAAGGAGAGGTCTTAGAGGAAGGAGAAAGAACGTAACTTGATAAGTGTTCACATGTTTAGAGTGGTGTCAAATCACAACTGAGTTCAGGTAGGGTTGATTTTCATATATATCATTCTTGAATCGTGATTTTAAATTCGTAATTGTTTAGTAATCAGAATTGTACGAGGTGTAATATGTCGTATCAAAACCAACTAAAACCAACTAATATGCGGTTTGAAGAAAACTGGCCTGCTCTATCCCAAACAATGACACTATTACTTAGAGTCACATCAACTAGAATTATTTTATTGTTTAACTTTATATTAAATAATCAAATGTTTTCATCATTTTCTCTTATCACAATCTAACCCAAATCCATGTATATTTAACCTAATTCGACCCGGTCAAAACGAGTTGAACCCAGTGTTCATGAATTATGGGTCGGGAACAAATTCCTTTTATCACAATCTAACCCAAATCCATGTGTATTTAACCTAATTCGACCCGGTCAAAACGAGTTGAACCCATTGTTGACATCTTACTCGCTTTTGTAATTAACGAATTGAGTTGGGTGTGGATTATGTTTAAAACTTGCTACCCTTTATCAAGCCTGTCAAAGCGAGATTTGATTATTTCCTCTTTATCACAACCCATGTGTATTTCTACCTGGTCAAAACAATTTGAACTCGGTGTTGACGAATTATGGGTCAGGAATAAATTTTATTCGCTTTTGTAATTAACGAATTGGGTCAGGTGTGAATTTTGTTAAAAACTCGCTTCGCTTTATCAAGCCAGTCAAAGCAACATTTGATGATTTCCTCTAATCACAATCGAACCCAAACCCATGTGTATTTCTACCCGGCCAAAACGGTGTTGACGAATTATGGTCGAACAAATTTTACTCGCTTCTGTAATTAACAAATTGGGTCGGGTGTGGATTTTGTTAAAAACTCGCCCCGGTTTATCAAGCCAGTCAAAACGAGTTGAATCCAATGTCAACAGATTCAGGGTCGGGGACGAGTTTTACCCGATTTTGTAATTGATGGGGTTCTTCTTATAATTAACCAAATCTTGGAGGAGTTTTTGTGTCATTAAGGTTATAATAAATTAACTTATGACAGCTGAACCCAAATTGAACACAAATCAATGGGTATTCGTCCTACTTTGATCTGGTTTAAGTGAGTTGAACCCGGTGTTTACAAATTTGGGCTCAACAACAAGTTTTGCAGGCTTTTCTAATTGACGGTTTGTGTCGATGTGAATTTGTTCAATACTAGCCCCGCTTGCCTTTGCTTCCATGTTGGCGAATTCTTGGGTGAGGACGAGTTTTGCACACTTAAATCATATCACAAAGGTGACCATCTTGGTGCTTGGGGAAACTTTGGGGATCTTTTTGCAATTTCGGTTACTTTTCATTCTTCCCTCCTCTTCCCAACCACACAAACTTCTCTCTCTTCTATTTTCTTCTTTCTCTGATCTCTTCTCACTGACCTAACTCTCCCTAACACAGAAGAAAGAAAAAAAAACCCGGAAACAACCCACCTTTCCTTTCTTATTATCCTCCTTCCACAACAATTAGTGTCGACTACCAGTGTTGCGATGGTGGTTTGTAGGGTCGTTTCGGTATTATGACAGTGGTGAGGTGATGGAGTTGGTTAGGGGTGCACCCAGCAACACCGAACAGAGGGGAGCGGCGAGAGCCCAACTCTGATGGGGGATCATGATGGCAACGATGGAGATGGTAGTGAGGCTCTGTGATGGAAGAAAACGAGGAAAGGAGAAACAAAGGAAGAAGAAGAAGGGAAGAAAGGAGAAAAAAAGGAGGAAGAAGAAGGGTATAACAGAAAAAAAGGAGGAAGAAGACCTCTGCTACTGTCTTGAGACTCCGAACACTTTTGCTGATGAGTTCATCAACCGACTGGAGAATCCAGCTCTTCACCATGAAATTACACTAAATCCATAGTCCGTGCAGTCTGTCCGTTGCTTCTGGTTTTGGCAGGCTTCCATCAACGAATCCTAACTTGTTCTTGGAGGCTGGGGCATCAATCATCGTCGCACTCCAGTCAGTGTAGGTGGTTGGTGTGAGCTTCTGTGAGACCAGTGAGTGTCCTGGCTGCTATGAACCATGGAGGTAGTAAGGGTCTGTAAGTGGATATGTCGTGATGTTGGCGACGGCTGCTATGAACCATGGAGGCTGCCGCAGCTGCGTTGGATGCTTCTTCTCCGTCCGCCATTGTTGGTAAAACTCTTAATCAAGCACTGGAAAATGAGAAAAGGAAAAGAAACGAAACGAAGAGAGGAAGAAGAGGGAAGCCCTTCCACAATATCCCCAGTCCGCCTCAAGCCAAATCCGTGACCTGTACCCTCCAAAATCCAACGAAAATGGCCATTCCATAAAATCGCCCGAAATCGGTGATGGTACCCCTTTGGAATCTAGCAAAAATGGACCCGGAACAAATATGCCCAAATTTGTGCTTAATAGACTCAATGGACGGCGAAGGATAGGCTCACGCCGAATCCTTGATCCGTAGCCTTCAAATCCAAGGAAAATGGCCTTTCGAAAAAGCGCGCGTAAAATAACGAAAATGACCCTCGGAATTTTTTTTGCCCAAATTAGCGATTGATTGACTTCATCATTGGTAGAAAATAGCCCCAGTCCGCCTCAAGCCGAATCCGTGACCTGTACCCTCCAAAATCCAACGAAAATGGCCATTCCATAAAATCGCCCGAAATCGGTGATGGTGTACCCCCTTTGGAATCTGGCAAAAATGGACCCGGAACAAATATACCCAAATATGTGCTTACTAGACTCAATGGACAGCGAAGGATAGGCTCACGCCGAATCCTTGATCCGTAGCCTTCAAAATCCAAGGAAAATGGCCTTTCGAAAAGCTCGCGTAAAATTACGAAAATGCCCCCCAATTTTTTTTTTGCCCAAATTGGCGATTGATTGACTTCATCATCGGTGGAAAATAGCCCTAGTCCGCCTCAGGCCGAATCCATGACCTGTACCCTCCAAAATCCAACGAAAATGGCCATTCCATAAAATCGCCCGAAATCGGTGATGGTACCCCTTTGCAATCTGGCAAAAATGGACCCGGAACAAATATGCCCAAATATGTGCTTACTAGACTCAATGGACGGCGAAGGATAGGCTCACGCCGAATCCTTGATCCGTAGCCTTCAAAATCCAAGGAAAATGGCCTTCCGAAAAAGCGCGCGTAAAATTACTAAAATGCCCCCGGAATTTTTTTTGCCCAAATTGGCGATTGATTGACTTCATCATCGGTGGATAATAGCCCCAGTCCGCCTCAGGCGGAATCCGTGACCTTTACCCTCCAAAATCCAACGAAAATGGCCATTCCATAAAATCGCCCGAAATCGGTGATGGTACCCATTTGTAATCTGGCAAAAATGGACCCGGAACAAATATGCCCAAATCTGTGCTTAATATACTCAATGGACGGCGAAGGATAGGCTCACGCCGAATCCTTGATCCGTAGCCTTCAAAATCCAGGGAAAATGGTCTTCCGAAAAAGCGCGCGTAAAATTACGAAAATGCCCCCCGGAAATTATTTTTGCCCAAATTGGCGATTGATTGACTTCATCATCGGTGGATAAAAGCCCCAGTCCGCCTCAGGCCGAATCCGTGACCTGTACCCTCCAAAATCCAACGAAAATGGCCATTCCATAAAATCGCCCGAAATCGGTGATGGTACCCCTTTGGAATCTGGCAAAAATGGACCCGGAACAAATATGCCCAAATATGTGCTTAATAGACGCAATGGACGGCGAAGGATAGGCTCAAGCCGAATCCTTGATCCGTAGCCTTCAAAATCCAAGGAAAATGGACATCCAAAAAAGCGCGCGTAAAATTACGAAAATGCCCCCCGGAATTTTTTTTTTTGCACAAATTGGCGATTGATTGACTTCATCATCGGTGGATAATAGCCCCAGTCCGCCTCAGGCCGAATCTGTGACCTTTACCCTCCAAAATCCAACGAAAATGGCCATTCCATAAAATCGCCCGAAATCGGTGATGGTACCCCTTTGGAATCTGACAAAAATGGACCCGGAACAAATATGCCCAAATCTGTGCTTAATAGACTCAATGGACGGCGAAGGATAGGCTCACGCCGAATCATTGATCCGTAGCCTTCAAAATCCAAGGAAAATGGCCTTCCGAAAAAGCGCGCGTAAAATTACGAAAATGCCCCCTGGATTTTTTTTTTCCAAATTGGCGATTGATTGACTTCATCATCGGTGGATAATAGCCCCAGTCCGCCTCAGGCCGAATCCGTGACATGTACCCTCCAAAATCCAACGAAAATGACCATTCCATAAAATCGCCTGAAATCTGGCAAAAATGACCCGGAACATCTGTGCTTAATAGACTTAATGGACGGCGAAGGATAGGCTCACGCAGAATCCTTGATCCGTAGCCTTCAAAATCCAAAGAAAATGGCCTTCCGAAAAAGC